TAACAATATTCTAAAGCAAACATAAAACATAAAAAGCAAACAAACATAAAACAAACATAAAACTTAATCTAATATTTGCTTCTTTTTTATCTTTTGTAGATCTGTTTGCCAATCGGCAAAGGCCTCCTCCAACCTCTTCCATTCTGATCTTTCTTGAGCCACTCTGTTCCACATCACTCCTGCCACTTCTCTTATATCGTCGTCCCATCTTTTCTGCGGTCTGCCTCTTTTCCTTTTTCCTTCCCTGGGATACCATCTTGTCACCTTCTTACTCCATTTGTCATGACCTCTTATTGTGTGCCCTGCCCACCTCCATTTGAGTCTTTTAATTTTCCGTACTACATCTATGGTTCTTGTTTTATTTCTGATGACAGAGTTTTTCAGTCTGTCTGATCTTTTGACATTCAGCATGCTCCTCTCCATAGCATATTGGCAAGTTGCTAGCCTGTTTGTCATTTCACGAGTTAAAGTCCATGATTGGCAGCCATACATAAGGACGGGTAGTACGCAGGTGTTAAATAGTTTGCTTTTGATGTTTATATGAAGTTGTTTGTCTTTCATAGCCTCTCTCAAGCTCCAGTATCGACCCCAGCTGTTCGTAATTCTTCTCTTCACTTCCTCGCGCATAGGTTCTTTTTGGGTTATGAGTTGTCCCAGATAGATGTATTCGTCAGTGTAGTTGATTTCGGTATTTCTTATCCGTATCGTGGTTTTCTCTCCATTTGTCATCACTCTAGTCTTCTCTGGATTGAGTTTTAATTCTACTCTCTCACTTTCTATCGATAGGTCTTCTATCATTTTATTGATGGCTTCAGGTGTTTTGGCGAATAGCACTATATCATCAGCAAATCTTAAAGCAATTCTCATTTATACTTTCAATATAAAAGCTTGCTAGGTCTGTTTTGATATATGGTGGCCCCATTCAAGCTTTGCGTCTAGTATGATTCCAAGAAAAATGGTGGTGTCAAAATGGAAATTACTAACATTAAACAAATTTACTAATTTAGGTGTAGCATTATTTACTTGTTCATGGGGAGTATATTGCCATAGTTGTCACGCTTGGCGAGCGGGTTGGCATCCGCAGTTTTTTTTATTGTTGTACAGTTGCTGTTGTCAGGAAGATGCTGCTGCCCATCTCCTGCTTGTTTCTCTCTGTCACCTTTTACGATACCCACGGGAAGATACGGGGCAGTGGATATTCTTAACCGCCACTACTCGGCACTAACCAGTGCGTGTTGCCAGTGATGACTTACGGATCTGAGACGTAGTCCTTCACTGCTGCAAATATGAAATAATTAATAAAAGAGCGTCATTTCTTACACTGTATTGTTGAAGTTTCCTGATAAACGTTTCATGGTGAACAAAATCGAAGGCCTAGGATAGGTCACAGAGCCAAAGCATCCTGTGAATTCTTCAATGCATTACGGACATATTTAATCAGCTCAACACCAACATCAGTTGTCTTGCGACCCCTTGTGAAACCGAATCAATTTTTATGTAGTAAATATTTTCCAAAAAAATTTACATTTGATGAAGAATATTTTTTTCAAAAATTTTACTAATTGTCGGCAGTACAGAAATAAGTCTTAAATTAGCGGCGTCCAGTGTACGACCAGATTTAAATAAAGGTGTTACTTTCAAATCAACACACCAGATTCGATATTAGTATTAAAAATAATAGATATTTGAGGTGCAATTGTATCTAATATAGACGCAATAACTTTAATGGAAATCCCTCACAGATCTGCGGTTTTCTTAATATCAATAGTTTTTAAATATTTTACAATATATTTTGATGATACTTTATGAAATATAAATTTCTTTGTACACACATTTACATTTTGTTTAAGTAATGATTCGGCGAGGGAAAGAAAAGAATTCAGTGACTTAGTGGTTAAGATCTAAATATCAGTAAAAGATTTCAAGGAATAAGGATAAAAGATATTGTTAATGTGATCTGAATGTAACGTTTTTTTATTATTTAACACTAATATAATATTTATTGTTTTGTTAGTTATAAAAGATTTTCAAATAGAATGTTCCGTTTTGTTCAACATATTTCTATACCTATTTGTATTGTTATATACCTAGTTGTATATTCAGGGGAACTTCTTTTGTATGACACACGACTTCGTAGATCTTTTGTGATGTCAAACATTAATGTTTAATGTGCGTGTTTGTTCCCACTTATGTCTATATGGAAACGTCATTCCTACTTTCGTACCCATGTTCTAATGACTTACAGAGCACAAATCGACCGTGACCTGAAAGTTTTAACTTGATAACATTATGTTACACGTCAGAACAGAACACTATTCCAGCAGTGTGAATAATTAAACTGATTGTTTATTCACTATGCTGGGATAGTAGTACATTAATCGTAATACGATACATACATAGTACGGCACGATTAATGAAGATGGAGTTTCACCAAGTGACAACAATCGGAAGTAAAGTTAAGAAAATATTAGTACTAATGATAAGTTTAAATTGATAAGTCTAGTAAATGGAAAAGAATAGATTAGATTAATATTTTTTATTTAATCTATACGTAAGCCTCCTGGTAAGCAACAGTAACCTTACGGCTGATTACCAGGTTACAGACCACGAACTCAAAAGGTCGTGGATTCGAATCTGCCATTCGACTACGACTATTTGTGAATCATTCCTAACACGAGCATTTTAGCTTAAAATGCTGGTAAGCACCAGGAGTGGTTAAAAGGAATATTAGTAATGTTAATCGCATTGCTAGTTGCACCGGCTTAGCACAAGTGATTTCTGCATCTCAACAACAGCGTCGCTTACAGGGTCCAAATGTGAATCTGAACCATCCAGTACCATATCATACGTGGTAGAGTTACGCTACAGCTATATTATGGTTGTAGCACGAATGGGTCGGCTCGTAAAATAGCAGCTTAATACTGATGTGTTTCGTATAGTCAGTGGGTCTGGAGACCCTTTTTTACTGAAAACGAGGCATTCCATCTTGGATTTGGGGACCTTCAAGAAAAGAGCCTACTCTATTTTTAAAGGCCGGCAACGCATCTGAAATTTTTCCTGGTATTGCAGTTGCTCATGGGCGGCGGTAATCACTTATCATCAGGTGAGCCGTATGCTCGTTTACCCCCTCTTCTATAAAAAAAAGTCCTCAGGGGCGACAATGCATCTGCGTTTTGATTCTTAATCGAGGATAAATGTATATATTGGGTGCTGTGGCGCGTATATATCATACGCGTCACAGCACCCAATTATCATCTGGTGGACTGTGTGCTCGTTTGCCACTTTTTCACAATTTAATCAAAATCGTAAGAGCCGTTTTCGAGTTTTAGCGAGACAAACGGAGAGCAATTGATTTTTATATATAGAGATATAATCATAGAATCTTATATTATAATCCTCCGCTTTTTTCTTTATAGGCCCATAACTATCCATTATTGTATATGGGCCTCTCCCGTAGAAGAGAGAATTTGATATGATCACCGCGCTTTGAAAGCAATAATTGCGATGCCAGAAGTTTCGCCGCATTGACGTCGCTTCTAGTGGCTGGTCTGGATAATTTACACTTTGCGTATACCTAGATATTTGAATCGAGATTCTTAGATATATAAAATTTAAAAATAAGAAAAAAAAGTGATTTTTTAACGTTAAATTTACATTAATATAATAACAGCAAAGTGTGAAAATTTACAATGTTTCTAAAAAATAACCTTATATTTTCGTAAAATATCTTCTATTATTATTACTTTTATTATATCTATTATTATTATATTTTCTTAAAATATATTCTATCAGATATTTGAATCGAGATTCATAGATATATGTATAAAATTTATAAATAAGAAAAAAAAAGTAATTTTTTAACATTAAATTTACATTAATATAATAACAGGAAAGTGTGAACATTTACAATGTTTCTTATACATAATTTTAGGAAACTAAAAAAAACTAAAAAACCTTATATTTTCGTAGAATATCTTCTGTACCCGGTTGACCGAGCTTTGCTCGGTATTATTCGCTCGGTTTTTTTAATTCGTGTGTTTTGGAAATTATATTTAGATACAAATTACATACTGATGAAATATGAATAATATTTTTTGATCTTAGCGACATAGTAGAAAAAACTGAACTGGTTATTTGAATAAAAAATCATGAGTGCAATTAGTTTAATTTAAATTTTCGTGTTTTTAAAAAATACTAAAAAAAAGAGCTCGAAAAAATAGATTTTCTCAAAAAAAGGAAAGGAACTTGAAAAAAAAAAATAAAAAAATGGGTCGGTCGGTCTGGGCTCGAACCATGGTATTACAGTTTATACTATATACCCAATATACCAATTAAGCTATTTGTAATCATCATTAAACTGTTAAAATTTACCTTCTTATTCTAACGATATTGTAGCAGTTTTTCATTGCCTAAAAACACGGACAAAAAAACATTTTCTAAAAATAAATCATAGCTAGATCGATTTATTGCCCCCGAAACTCCCTGCACACAAAATTTGATGATCGAATGAAAATCGTTGGAGCCGTTTCCGAGATTCCGATTATATATATATACAAGAATTGCTCGTTTAAAGGTATCTTAAGTGATTAAGTGATATAAATTACGTGTCACGTTGTTTGTCCGCGATGGACTCCTAAACTACTTAACCGATTTTAATCAAATTTGCACACTGTGTGCATTTTGGTCCAACTTGAGAGATATGATAGTTTTCTTGCCCATGAGTGACCCACATTTTTGTTTTGCGAATTTAAGAATTTTTAATAGGACATGATAAAGGGTCGTCGAAAAGGGCAGAACAACGTCTGCCTAGTAAGCTAGTATGATTATAAATTTTTTTTTGTAAAAGAGTTTTTTGAAAAACTAAAGTTAATATTAATTTTTTTTAATTGCATGATGTAGATATACTAAAATACTACAAAGCTATGATGAGGCAATGATAATTAAAAAGAATATGTTTCCCGTTATTAATTTATATATTCGGCGTACATATAAAAACTCACCTGCACTCTGGGTCTTCTCTACAGGCATGTGCCAGGGTATGGCAGGCAGGAAGCGGGGACCCGAGGGGAGGTCGCTGTGCGCAAGAAGGATGTAAACGCTCTTGCGCGTTCATACAAGAGTCTTCCCTGTTGTCAGTTTTCCTGTAAAATTTTCAATTAAACTTAGTTGAAAATAAACATGGTAGAGTCATTTCGCAGCTATATTATGGCTGCATCCCGAACGGGTCGGTTCTAACAGGGTAGGTCCATGCTCTCATAGAATACAAGTCTGAAACAACAGAATAATCCCGCCGTATTCGTATGGTGAGTGTAGAGAACCGAAGACCTTATTGGTAATAGACATTCCATCTTAGTCCTTAGGAGTGACAACGCATCAGAATTTTGATTCTTAGTCGAGGATTAAATAAAGGCGTACAGTGATATTACAGTAACATATAGTGACTGAAAATTTTCTCTTAGATTTTAGGATGGGTTTATTATTTTCCATAATATTTTTTGAATAATCCAACTTCAAGTGTCCTTCAAGCTGAAGAGATTTATAACAAGACTAATAGGCAAAAGAACTTAAAAAAAAACTTTTAAACCTTTTAAATTTTATCTTAGGCATATCGCATCCTAATACGCTTGAATGCTGTCAATGATGATACGCATGATAACAATGATGGTATCACTATCAGACTTTTATGTGCTTTCATTATCATCATCGCATTACAGTACTCTACAGGTCCTTAATTGAACGTAGTCCACCTCCAAGAAATGCTACATTACACGGTCTTGAGCCGCATTCATCAATGGACTTCCTGTATGGGTCATTTTGGTGCATCTAGGCGCTGCACCATCTAGAACGAAAACCTGCTAATTCAGAACCTTTCTGCTAGAGATTGTTGCGCGCAGAGCTACTTGTTGCCCCTTTTATTAATCATTGAAATCACTTATCTATTAATAGCTTAATAAGATGAGGAGAACGCTGAATATTCTTGGTTACATTCAGAAAGTTGCAATGAGCAACAAATATTTATTCATGCTCTAATATTAAGCCTACCTGGAATTCGAACCCAGCAGACTTGGCGAAGTAGTCAGGTATTCTGAACATTGAGCCTCACGGTCGTTATATGTACAAGATATTAAATAATAATTAAATATATTACTCACTTGCATAGGCAGAAAGCAATTTCCGTATTCCAGTTCACGCTCGGTTTCCTGTAGAACCCTCGTAGAGCCGTCATACAACCTTCCCTGTCGCAGTCGGTGGAATGGCACTTCTGAAGGACCGGAGTTAGAGACGCCACGCATTCAGTGTCCTTGATACAGGTGTCCAAAGCAACGTGACACGTAGACTGAAGAGCCACCTTTTCATCACCCGATTTACCGTTCTCTTTGCCAATCCGCTCTGTTGGTTGTTGTATAGTGTTAGTTTTGAAGTGTATTGAGATGCTCAGTATGAGTGTGATATTATATACTTAAAGCTTTTGTGTCAATTTATTAGCTTAGTACATAAACTAGTTGACATTTACTGTTTTATTTATGTACCGTGTTGGACAATTTTAATATAATTTCTAAAGGACTTTTCTCTATGGACCTTTTTGGTTTAGCTAATAACGTGTGGTTAAATTGTGTTCAGAATTTGAGTTTTTAATCATAAAATAGCGCTGCGATGTTAATATTTCTAAGTGGTTTTTGAATAAACAAAATAAAAGTAAAAAAATACGTCGTACTTCACACCGGTTATTTTACCGTCAAATACGTGACTTAAAACATTTATTGCAATATATAATTAAGGCATATAAAATAAATAGATAAAAAAACATCAAACAATGTTAAAATAGGAAATAAAAATATTATATATATTATAAAATTCATAAAGTGACTCGAACAAACAGAAGTAACGCCCATGCCAAGACAAGATACGAGTATATAATTTACAAAGTGTAATACAAAACGTAATATTGTGAAATACTTTATATTTGATCATTTAAATACAGGATGAGCAAATGATTTATTTGAGATAAAATATGTACTCAAGTCTGAAAAAACAAGCTTGTCAGATAATACTCATGCTAATAAATATAAAATTCTTTTAATTAATAACAATAATGTGGTAGTTCATGAAGTAGATGAAAGCTCAGGGTGTGTTAATAATAGATACCATTTAATGGAAAGTGTTAAAGAATTTTTCAAGTGAAATTGAACTTATCATATTTAATGAAAATATTCCATTAAATAATTTCTTTTTATATCTAAGAATAAAATTGATGCTATCCGATAGCGACTCATGATGGATGAATATCTGAACTTTTAGCGAGAATTGCAAAGCTTCTCGAAGATTTACGTGTCTAAGCTCCTTTGCTAAATCGCTTCTGTAATACTAAATCCTCTACAATGTTACGGTGGACATAAGGAAACGGGAAGCGGTTTTAAAGGGAACTAAAGCACTAAAACCCCTTCTAAAATATAATCTACGCAAAGCTTCACTTTATGTCCTCTTTGTATAAAATTTAAGATTTGTAAATTATTCTTTCCTTTAATCTACTCATGATCTGCTAACTTTAAATATCATGGGAGATCTAAAGGTTTAGTTACTGGAACAATATTAAAGGAGACAAACACTTGAAGAATATTTTGTTGTGCTAAATTGATATGAAACGAAAGATGAGTTTATTACTGGACCCGTCTAGAACTGTACAAATTAAAAGCTTGAAATGAATGCTTACGATATCTATGGTTAGTTGTCATGTTTGTTTATATTAGTGTAATCATGGATATATGTATCACTTAAAGCCTTATGATAAATTAACCAATATCATAAATAAATTTAAAATGGTCAAAGTAATTAAAATACGACAGTAAAAATGGTTTACATTTCACAAAACGTCGAAATACTTTTATAATACGTACGGTTTTCATCTATGTATCCGGGCCCGTAGACAGTCTTGGTAGCATAGAGAGGGTCTTCACTCCCCCCAGGCTCATGAATCCAGCGATGGTCATGGTGTCCATGAGGGTGGTAGTGCGGACTTGCGTACCGGTGAACATGTGTCATGATTTTATCCGGAGTGATAAGGTTGCCGTCTTGAGTTATAGACATACCGCCGATCCATGACGTCACACCGGTTGCGTTCCGGTTAGCGTGCCATCCGTCCGACATCAGCTTTACTGGAATTGTACCGATCGTATCTCTTAACGACAAGCCCGGTGACCGAGCCATAGCGCGACGGGACTCCGGTATCAATGTCAGAGGCGATCGCGCCGGGGATCGGTTTAAAATCAGTTTTAAAATTATATCCTAATATGAGATAAAAAATAACAATCCAAACAATAATTTGGCAAAAAAGAACTTCATTTATTGAGCAAAACGAAAACATTCGATACGGTAGTTCAGGAAACTGTACACCGGACTAGTGGATTAACATTAGCAAAGCCCTCATTGGATAGCAGTCCCGCTCGAACTATTTGTGAAAGCCAAAGTCTATGCCGCGCAGTAACCATAGAGATCGTAGAAGGAGAAAATGCAGAAAGAAAACATGCAAACATGCTAAATACGAGATGTATTGCTTCAGACACATGTAGACAACAACATTAAGGAATAGTCTACGTTTGCCTGATAATTGATATAAATTAGTATGTAGATAACCTATAGCAGTAGGTTCCTTGGAAAATAGCAGAATACTGGAAGCATGCGAGCATAAGGTAGGAGCGAGTATCCTGTTTATGCTAAAAATGTTGATAATAAAACAATTATAGATAGTAGTATAATTAAAAGAAGTTTACCTTATAATTTGAATCTCAGCGTTCACTCGATTATTGAAAACTGATTACCAAAATTGTTATACCGTTATTTTCTATAAAATATCAAAGCACTTCTTTTCCTAATTCATATAACAGCTGTGATATCGTCGAAGGATTAGGAGCATTTTATTTAATTTCAGAGTAGCGAATGGTCATTTTGAAAAATGTTTAGATTTGAAGCGCAGGCAGTTCCCGTTAATGTACAGAAAGGTTGAAGGAAATATTGGGTTCAATAAAAATGCATGAATGAATTTTGGTGTTAATTGTGAAGTGACTTTTCAATATTAGTTAGTTTGCGCTCCTACCTTAAAAAGCGATTAGCGAAGCGTGCAGTGCGAGAGGCGACGAAATCCGAGAGACACATAGAGAAGAGAGAACATAAAGAGAGGGTGCGGCGGCGGCTCACCGTGGCGGGGTCGTGGGGGGCGCGGGGAGAGTAGGGCGGCACGGAGTAGGCTGGCGGCTGCGGCCCTCGTCATCAGCCTCGTGCCGTTCTCGGTGAGGAGCAGGATGGTACCGTCGGGTGCGGCGTATCGCATCAAAGGAGGGGCACGGGCTGGCACACGCTGGGGGGACTCGAACAGCGCTCGCACCGCCGGCGGACATTCACCCCACGCCGCCGCTGCCCACCAACCACGTTACCAACATTCTCTACTGCCCCCGTGCTAGCGAGCCGCACTTGAACCACCCTTAATAGAACGCCTGATAGCGATTGATTTTTGAGAGAAAGAGTGAGATAATCAATTACTTTAATAAAGTCTATTAAAAGTGGTTCTTAAGATGATGTAGTTATGATAGAATAATGCTCGCCGCCCCATCGACAATGCTCTATCAACAGTTCAGGATCATTACCGAAGGCCGAAGGTCGGAAGCCAAGAGTTGAGGTAACTGCGGGCATTTGTACGGTGTGTGAGGTCAGGAGTACACTAAAAAGAAGCTTAGTGTCTGGTGAAACATAATAAACAGCCTTGTGTAGTAAAGTAGTGATCTAAGTAAATCCTAAGGCCTAGGCATCTAATCAGTGTTAAAATAAAGAGGCACCAATAAGAAAATAATAAAAAAATAAAGTCAAATAATAACTAATTTAACACGTTGACGACTATTTTGAGTCTAGTACTCCTTAGAAGCGTTTCGATATGTAGTGTCGTTGTTTTTAAGAATGTACATATTAGGAACGTTACTTATATTTTGTTTTAAAAATTAATGTCATTAAATACACATATTCAATGGAATTAAAATTATAATTAAAATATAATCATATTTATACATACAGCTGTTATGTGACAGTGTCCTACAGGGTACATTATAATACACAATGTGTAAGTACACTTGTTTAGGTTTATTATTGTACAATGTAGATCGTGAGTTCAAGTGTTAAGTGGACCTATGCATGGCCATTATTAAACATTTAAAGCTATTGCAATTTCAATTTTTTATGCTAATCACAGCGGGTTTTGAGTAAGAAATTACTACATTAAAAATAGAACAGAAATAATGACAGCAATCCAATTTCTACCAAAAGTATCTTCTTTTCCTTTGTATCAATAATTAAAGAGTCTAAATGCAAAATACATATCATATTAGATATGAGGATTTCTTATACTTTTGCGAACACTACACATTGAATAAAACAAATACAGATTTTAACGCATTTAATTTTAACTTATTCTTAATTTAAATAATACTAGTTTTTACAAGATTTTATCGCGTATATTTAACTTTTTAAATACCCGACGTTTCGAGCACTTTACAGCATCCCCGGTCACGGGGGGGACTGAGATGTTCAACGTCCTGATGTCATAGTTAAGTAATTATCGATCACCAAGCAGATGGTAAGTACCCAGCTCACTTTTCAATTGAAATGAAGATGTTTTTATTTCAATAATCTCACGAATCATCTCTGTTCTATATAGGAATAAAAATGTTCTTTTGCGATTGTTTGTGCTTTACCAAATCTGATAATATGTCTATCTGTATGATATGGATCCGATGGTGGCAGGTACGATCCTAACTTTATGTGCCAAAACATCGGTGAAGAGGTAAATAACTGCCTCGTTGGTCTAGTGGTTGTAGTTAGTACGACTGCTTATCATGAGGTCCTGGGTTCGAATCCCGGGTCGGGCCAAAAAAAAAACTAATAAATTATCAGTAGTTGCCCGGAGTCAGGAAGTTGGCGGTGTCTCACCCCCGTGCCTCGGAAAGCACGTAAAGCCGTTGGTCTTGCGCCTGATCTCTCTCCGGTCGTGTCGGTTTACCGTCCCATCTGAATACTTCATTTTACTACTTATAATATATAAATATTATAAGTAGTAAATGAATTATTCAGATAATAATAGATATTTTTTGATTTTACAGTTCTGCTGCATGCCAACATTATTTTAACACCTCGTTCGCGCAACAAAGTAGTAATTAAAAGATATTTCGGAGCTCCCAACATTCTGAATATTTTTCTTGGCGAGTTGAGGTAAGTAATTTGAACAGTTGCGTGTTCCCACGTATGAAAGCAACCTAGCGTCAGTCATTGATCCGGTTCTTAGTACAAATATATTCTATCCATAGCTGAAATAGATAACCAATTTCACAATTTATAGCATAAAATATTTA